CAACAGTGAAAAGGGACCCCTTTCAAACAGTGTCGCGTTCCGAACGTTGTTTAAGCGGTATTGCGGTATTTTAAAAATTAATATCATAACAAAAATATGATAAATTGCATGTTTATTTTAGATCTGTGTGGTATCAGCAATATACAGTAAATAAATCAATAAATCCACTGCCCTGTTGTCTCCTCTGAGGCTGGGACTGTAAATAGTGTTCTGTGCTCGTCTTTGCAGCCAAAGACAGAACAGTTAGCATGTTTTGCTCAAACTTTCGCCATGGAATTAGAGCTGGTACACCATTGTCGCTTGCGAAAAACACAATAAAGGCGCCGTGGGTGGAAACGTACTGATTAAGGGGCGGTAATATTATAATGAGATCCCTTTGCCACGTCACTAGGGGAGCGAAATCAGACGCGCTCGCTTTTTCAGACGCTTGCAGAAAAAGGCTTACCAAAACAAAGTTACTGGGTTAATCTTTTTCACAGCGAAATCACGCTCGCTTTTTCAGACGCTTGCAGAAAAAGGCTTACCAAAACAAAGTTACTGAGTTAATCTTTTTCGCGTTTCCTTGTTTGGTAGATGCACTGGGGACCTGATTATAGCACTTAAGACCTGGAAAAGTCAGATTTTCATGATATGTCACCTTTAACTAATGTTAACAAATACAAATTTTTATTTTAATAATGTATTAGTAAATGTTGAAATTAACATGAACTAAGATCAATAAATGCAGTGGAAGTATTGTTCATGCTTAGTTCATGTTAACTAATACAGTTAATTACTGTTAACTAATGAACCTTATTGTAAATTTTTCGCTGCGTCTCCAAAATCATACATATTAGTTACATGTCTAGAAAGTATATAACAGTTTTCTGTTCCTTTAAGAGAAAGAAAGGAGTGACTCATATGATGTTGGCTTGTGAGCTAGCTTACCTCAGCAATCGCATCCTTCAGTTTGTTGTACTTCTCAATGTCAAAGCGTGTTCTCTTCGCACCCTTATGAAAGAACAGCAGGTACTGTCTGTCCATGGCGTCAGGGTAAATATATTCCTGTGTGAGAGAACGACAGCAGAGAGGTCAGACGGATCTCCTCCTCCCGTGGCACCCATTCTGAAATTCCTCTGATCATCTAGGGCAAGTTATAGGAAAGAGCTGGAGCTGCTCACCTGACGTGTCAGCACAAAGTAAGCGTACATAGCCATTGCTGTACCATAGGTGATAAAATACGTGACGGGCTCCATGATATCCCATGAGTACTCCCACCAGGTCAGCCGTGCCAGAATGCCAAACTGTGTGGCCATGTAAGCCATCCCACCCCACAGCACCCATGTAGTCCTGCGCTCGGCTCTCTTACTCAGCTCTTCTTTAACCTGAGGAAAAGAGATTACAAAAGATATTACAAACATTCAGAAAATATGATTTTACCATGATTTTACTACTGTGCAGTGGCTGTCAACACTGTGTTTTGTTATGTGTTGAAAATAATACACCGTATTGTGAACAAGGCTATCAATGCACGAATCAAACTCACTTAGAATGCGACAATTTCTGCTTTCCATGGATCATTTTTCATTATATCTCTGCATGTGGGCAGAGACGAATCATCAAGAGCAGAGAAAATGCTTACGGTAACATTAACTTCTCCATTTTCTTTGACAGAAGATGAATCATGAGAGCTCCACTGTCTTCACTTCAGCCGTCGCATCACATTGCTACTTCATTTGCATCAATTACATCTTTTTTTGAACTTTGTAGCATTGCTGGACAAAAACTGAAGACTGTTGGCGGCACAGAGTACAAAAAAAACTAAAAAGGTAATTGACCATATATCCCATTTGTGACTTTATATCACATATTGTGACTATTACTCTATACCCTGCAACTGTGACTGCTTCTTGTAATAGCAATCTTATTTTTTGCAGTGTGACTTTATATCTTGTAATTGTAACTTTATGTCTTCCAACTGGGATTTCAGATCACAAAATGTGAACGTTGGGTAACACTTCAGTACAGGGACCAATTCTCACTATTAACTAGTTGCTTATTAACATGCCTATTATTAATATATTGGCTGTTTATTAGTACTTATAAAGCACATATTAATGCCTTATTCTGCATGACCATATTCTACATCCCTAATCCTACCCAATACCTAACAACTACTTTACTAACTATTAATAAGCAGCAAGTTTATTGAGACAAATGTCATAGTTAATGGTTTGTTAATAGTGAGAATTGGACCTTAAAATAAAATATGACTGAATTTTGCAACTATGACTGTTTCTTTTATTTGCAACTTTATATCTCACAATGTGGCTTTCTTATAATTGTGACATTTTTATTTTAAACTCTGAAATCTTACAATTGCCATATATATATATACAGTATATATATATATATATCATAAGTTTACATATCCCTTGCAGAATATGGAAAATGTTAATCATTTTAACAAAATAAGAGGGATCATGAAAATTCCATGTTATTTTTAATAAATACTGTCCTGAATAAGCTATTTCACATAGCAGATGTTTATATATGCTCCACAAGACAACATAATAACTGAATTTATGAAAATGACCCCGTGAATCTTAATACTGTGTGTCATTTCCTGGATGATCCACGACTGTTTTTATATTTTGTGATAGTTGTTCATGAGTCCCGCATTGGTCCTGAGCAGTTCAACTGCCTGCTGTTCTTCAGAAAAATCCCCCAGCTCCTGCACATTCTTTGGTTTTCCAGCATCTTCTGCATATTT